AGGAGCGATTGGGCCTCGTCGGCCTAGCGCAGCAGGCGGGCGCCTCCTGCGCCGCCGGCTTTGCGTATTGCGTCACCACCTCGCCGGCCGACGTCGTGAGGACGCGTTTCATGTCGGCGCAGCAGGCGGCGGAGCAGACGGGCCAGCCGATGAAATACTCGGGGCCGCTCGACGTGGCGCGGCAGACGCTCGCAAAGGAGGGGCCGCTCGCTTTCTACAAGGGCTTCTTGCCCCAGTGGGCACGCGCGATGCCCTACTCGATGGTCCAATTTCTGGTGTGGGAGCAGCTGGCCAAGCTGGCTGGTCTTACGACGGTATAGGACCAGGAGGGTAAGCGTGCCGTCGGCCTTGTCACCGTCGTCGCCCGGGGAGTCTAACAATAGGACATGGAGCCGTGCGATGCCGGATCGCGTGCCCCCGATATCCCGATTTTTCCACCCTGCCTCTCTCTCAAACACTGTAGTAAAAAGTAGATCCTCAAGCAGCCGTGTTGAGGGCAGATTGAGGTGGTCTCGCGCCGCGAGGAGTCGGCGGCCTCGCGCCGCGGGGGCCCGTCGCCGGTGTGGACCCCCGGCCGCGCGGGCCCCGCTCACCTGATCCTGAACACAGAGGTCCAGCTGCTCTTGGCGCGCTCGGGGCTGAGCGTGTAAGCAATCTATCGGCAAGGCGCGCGCCCGACGAGCCGACGAGAGCGGCCGGGAGCGTCGAGTCGCTCTCGTGTCTTGAGAGAAAATCTTGAATGTTGAAAAATAACGAAAGGACGCGGTGTGTGGTGTGTGGAGACGACCGTCGGTCTCGGTGAGCGAGAGGTCCGTCCCAGAGGTGTGTCTCTCTCCAACAGCGGACACAGCAACGCGGCGGCGCACACCAACCTTGGTGGCGTGTGTGAACTGATCTCTGGCCTACCCCCTCCCCCGGCGCGCGTCTGACTCTTCAATAGCGCAAAGGACGACAGCGGCCAGCCCACGGCACCGCTTGCGCCGATAGCCGCAAACAGCAAAGCCTCCCAGCCGCCGCGGCGGCCGTGCAGCGCCCGATCCCTACGCTGCGCCTGGGCCCCCCTCTACTCGCGGAAGACGACAGGATACCCGTCGGGCTCCTTCCCCTCCTCCACCCCCTCCTCGCCGCACCCGGGCGACGAGACGACCAGCGCCTCGAGCCCGCCGGCCTGCTGCACGTCCGCCGCCGAGTAGACGTACCGCAGCTGCAGCACCGCCTCGTCGCCTAGACGCAGAGGCGGCCGCGGGCTCGCAATCGTGTCACGCTCGAGCGGGAGGCGGAGGGGGTGCCCTCGCCCGCCGCGGGGCCGCAGGGGCCGGTGGAAGGCAGCGCGGCCGCGTCTCCGAGGTGCACCGAGATAGAAGCCTCGTTCGGCAGGTTGGCTTGCCAGCGCAGCGTCTCGAGGCCGCGCCGCTGCCACCAGTCCTCGCTCGCCTTCCACGCGGTCACGTCGCAGCGCGCGGCGCAGAGCACGCCTCCCTCTCCCTCGCCCGCCTCGAAGAGCAGGAGCGGGTAGCCAGCCGGGTCTGCGACGGTCGCCTGCCGTCGCGGGTTCGGCGGGGAGGGAGAAGCGGACATGGAGACGTGCCGATGCGCGGTCTGTGTGTGTCTCTCTCCGCCTCCCACCTGCGTCACAGCAGTGACCACGTCCACTCCCTCCTCCGGCTTCGAGGAGGGGCCGTGCTCAACGGTGGCGCTCTCGGAAAGCACGGTGCCGCCGTTCTCCCGCGCGGCCGCCACAGCGGCCGCCACGTTGCCCACCCGAGCAACCAGGCCGCGGTATCCGCCCTCTGCGCTGTAGCCAGCGGCGGCGCCATCGGCGCCGCCCTCCCGGAGCTCGAGCTGGAGGCTGCCGCCGCCGCCGAGGAGGTGGCGCGGCCGTCCGTCGTCGGTCGTGGCGTCCGCCGTCGCCACCAGCCCGAGCGTCGCCTCGTAGAAGGCTGCTGCCGACGCAGCATCGCCGACGCTCACCGCGACCCGCTCGAGAGCGGCGAGGCGCGGCGGCGTAGCGCGCGGCGTCGCGGTCGCGCCGTGGCGTTGACCGCCGAGTAGCACTAGCGCCGTGGCGGAGGGGCAGAGGAGCGCCATCATCACGACGGCCTGATCTCTTGCCGCGGGAGTGTGGCCAAGCGAGCAGAGCGAGCTCTGCTGAGACAAAAGAATTAAGACCAAGACAAGCACACTCGTTTTTTTCTGTTTTGTTTTTTCTTTCTTACGGGACTGGCGCGCACTGGCACTAACACAGGTACACCACGGGAGCCGCCTAAGCGACTCCTCCTTGAAAAAATTTTAATGAATTTGCCTTCACCCGGGCACAACACTGAGAATATGCTGCCTCCCTGCGGATGCTGCCGGCGAGCCTGGCGGTCCGCTGTACTACAAGGAAGTGCTGACTCGATTGCTACTCGAATTCTTCTACCCCCACGACTCGGAACGCGAATGTGACAGGACCATCGGGTCCTTCAGCCTCCAAAGCGGGATCACCCGAGAGCAGCTGAGCCTGCCTCTGGCCTCGCCTCCCTCTCCTTCAGGCATTCGTGGCATCCTATGGGTCGTCCAGAGTATCGACCTCTGGCGAGTCAGCCAGCCCCACTTTGAGGGCGCCATGAAGTACAGTGGGTTGCGGGCATTAAGAAAACGTACCATTAAGAAACCCTACCAAGCGATTTCCGCAAAAATCTAAGAAACCACGGCGCGCCGCAGGCGCGGCCCCGAGAAAAGGCCAGACACGAGTGTGAACGGGAGGCCCAGCTCAAAATTTCTCTTCGCCTGCGGCGCGCGCACTTGTCACTTTCCAAGTCTGCGGTGTTCTGAGTGGATGGAGTGAATGGAGGCGTGTGTGCGTCTTCCCGTCATCCAGTATCCAGACAGAGAGCCGACTCGGCGGCAGACTCTGGCATCGCCCTCGCGGACCGCAGCTTACCTCTTACCTAAAAAATCCTTCGGGCCGGCGCTCTGGCTTGAGTGCCCCGGCCGGAGCTAAGAAACCACGGCGTGGGGTGGATGAGGGCTGTGGAAAGGCTTGGCCGGGGGCACGCAGGGGGCGCCGCTCGCTACGGGCCGCTGCGGCGCCCATCCTTTCGAAGAATGCCATCCTGGAATATAGGTGAGACCGCACAGGGGAACGGGAGCGGGGAGCGCATGAGGGGGGCTGCGCAGGGTTCAGCCACACGACAGGGTCCCCTCCCGGATACGAATAAATAAATAAATAAAACGGGCACGCCAAACGAGGGGTGGGAGAAGGACAGGGTCCCTACCTGCACGAGCAGGATCTTGTAAGGACGATCTAGGACACAAAAT